AACATATGCTAGTGTCTGGGTCAATAACATATGCTAGTGTCTGGGTCAATAACATATGCTAGTGTCTGGGTCAATAACATATGCTAGTGTCTGGGTCAATAACATATGCTAGTGTCTGGGTCAATAACATATGCCAGTGTCTGGGTCAATAACATGAATATAAAGAATTAGAGTTTAAATGCTAGCGTCTGTGTCCATAAAATTTAACATACAGAATTAAGAATTATATGCTAGCGTCTGGGTCCATAAAATTTAACATGCATGCATGTATTAACATGAAAGATATGTGTGTCTTGCATGTATTAGCAGAAAACATACAGGTGCCTTGCATGTATTAGCAGAAAACATACAGGTGCCTTGCATGTATTAACAGATTTTTAAATGTTTCATTTCAGTGGTGGCATCCCAATCACTGTCAAGGGAAATGATTTAAATGCATCAGAAAATCCACTCATGACAGGGGAGACAACTGACAGCAAAGCATTAGGGGTCAATACTGTAAGTCTTAAGTTTCCAAGTCTCAATTGTCAACACTAAGTTTTAACTGTCATTACTGTAAGCCTTATTAATGGGCCTAGCCATTGTGAACCGTAAGACATCCTTCCTACCTGGCTGTATTGTCAACCCTTGGGTCCACCAGCTGCACTGATTGGGAAACTGACTGATTCTCCATATTAAATCCTTGCATTGTCTTTGTGTTGGTTTGCCACTCTCTTAGAGACAGGTGGATGGAAGAATGCTTAGACAGAAATTTTCTTGTTGTTAGGTTGAGACGTAATGTTAAGTCTTGGTATTTGAATAGTATTTCAGTTTCTTTTGATCAAACTAAAAGTGTGTCCAGTTCAGGGATTCCGTAAGGCTAGGGATGGAGTTGGGAAATTTTCACAGGTGGGCATTGGGTGGGCGTTTACCCATCTTTTACATGACAAGATAATTTTAGCTCTCCAGCTGAGGCTAGAGGTCATCTAAAATAAACTATTTAATATCGAAAGAAATTTAAAACAAATAAAAAATCTGTTTTAAAGAGTAATTATAGTTTCAGAAGTATAAAAATATATTATCATAAGATAAAAAGATGTTTCTTATAAAAGTAACCTTCTTAGCATCCTCTAGACAGTTCCTGACTTAGCTGCTTGACAGTTCATTCCTTGCATCTATTGCAGAATGATTAAACAAAAATTCAAATGAGAAAAATCACAAAACCAATTTATGCCTGATAAATTGCCTTGGCTTTTTTTTTTTTGTGTGATCCGCTGCCATCACATTATTGTTCTTGTGTCTTCTGGTTGTTTGATGTTTTGTTTGTTTATTTGTTCATGGGACTGGGTGTCTACATTGTTTAGTACTAAGTGGAAGTTCATTTTGTAGGTGATGGTCTCTGATTAGTCTAAATATTTTGAGTTAGCATTTTAAAAGATTTACTATTAGCCTTATTCTGTCAACATTGACCTGCAGACCTGCAGTGTCCAAGACGGAGGTGCTGTCATGGTGTGTCCTTCTATGAATGTCAGTGGCATCATTGAACCTGGCGGTGCACAGACGTACATTTACTTCATGTATGATGGGACCAGGTGGCCACAGACACACGAATGTAAGTATTGATGGGACCAGGTAATTCATTGTGATTTAATCTCATTTCATTATTTTAAAAATCTAATTTCCTTCCCCAACATCCCACACATTTTTGTTTTACCTGCAGACTACTCAGCCTTCCCCAACATCGCACACATTTTTGTTTCATCTGCAGACTACTCAGCCTTCCCCCACATCCCACACATTTTTGTTTCACCTGCAGACTACTCAGCCTTCCCCAACATCCCACACATTTTTGTCTCATCTGCAGACTCCCTAGCCTTCCAGTACCATGCAGACCCAGTGTTTCTCCCTTTCTCCAAATCAATCCGGGAGTTTGATGTCAATCAAGGGGAGATGATTTTCCCAGTAAGTTTGGAAACTATATTTGTCTAAACATCAGTTCTTCAACTTAAGTAGTTCTTCTTTTCATTCAAAATAAGCGGAGTGCATATTTTTTTGTTGTTGTATTAACTCAATTTAATATTTTTTGTAAGCATAAAAAAAAAAACATTACAAAACACTCCTGCTAACATTTTTATTTCTTTTTTTATTAGTAATAAATGTTTGTTTGTTGATTGTTTACTTACAAGGGAAGTAAGCAAATAAACTGTTGAAAAACTCACAACCAACAACAAAGTTTTATCCAGCCTAAAGCAGCTGCTTCATAACCTGGCATGAGACTTTATCCTCACATGAAACCTTAACCTCACAAGACCTTAACCTCACATGAGACTGTAACCTCATATGAGACCTTATCCTCACATGAGACCTTAACCTCACATGAGACCTTAACCTCACATGAGACGGTAACTCACATAGATAAAATGTATACACCAAGGAACAAAAATCTGGGGAGACCAAAAACTCCACTGTCACTGCTCTCCTTATGTGAGATGACCATAAGAAATACGGATGAGGGAATTATGTGTAGTCCTTTTGGCTAAACAGATTATCCCTATCAACTAGACAGCTTACCCTAATTAACTAGACAGCTTACCCTAATTAACTAGACAGCTTACCCTAATTAACTATACAGCTTACCCTAATTAGTTAGACAGCTTACCCTAATTAACTATACAGTTTAAACTAATTAACTATGCAGCTTACCCTAATCAACTATACAGCTTACCCTAAGCAACCATAAAGCTTACTCTAATCAACTATACAGATTAACCTAATCAACTATACAGCTTACCTTAATTAGTTAGTCAGCTTACCCTAATCAACTAACCTAATTAACTATACAGCTTACCCTAAACAACTAGGCAGCTTACCCTAATCAACTAGACAGCTTAAGCTAATTAACTATACAGCTTAACCTAATTAACTATACAGCTTACCCTAATGAACTAGACAGCTTACCCTAATGAACTAGACAGCTTACCCTAATAAACTAGACAGGTTACCCTAATTAATTAAACAGACACTGATGAATTGTTAGCAATGAAACTATTAAAAAGATGAGTGTGCTGGAGTGTGTTCTAACACAGTTCTCTTCTGTATCAGGGTCTCAACATTCTAAAGGCTGACCAGAAAGACTACCAGGTGTTGGTTGGGAAGACAGTCTGCACTGTGGTGGACATTGATGAATTTGAGCTGAAGTGCCGGCCTGACCTCAGTGGGTTCAATGTTGGAAATGGGACCAAATATGGTATACAGGTGAGACATCTTTGTCATTGTCTTTTTAGGTGTGGACATCTGTTGTGTTCTTTGACAAGGGCTGTTGTGCTGCATGACTCATACTCTCCCAACACATCACAACCATTGGCCCCGTCACATGACAGCACACAGTGATTCAATATCTTTTGTGGATGAAAATATTCTGGTGAATCTTGTCAAAGGGTTGGAGAAATATATTACTGTTGACTTTACTGCATCAACATAAAGGTCTGCTACATGGAGAAATATATTACTGCTTACTCTGTTACTCTAACATAGTGGTCTAGTTCTTGGAGAAATCAATTACTGCTTACTCTATTTCTCCAACATTAAGGTCTTGTCCATAGAGAAATATGTTACCACTGACTCTATTATTTCGAGGCCTGAATCATTACACCAACAAAATTTGTTATCTCCCTTGTTTCAAGCCTCATTCTGACCATTGTGAGGATTTTAAAAAAAATTATTATAGTTGTTTCTTATTTTCAGATTAAAGTTGGTAACCTGGTGTTCAACAGCACACAGCTTGGCCTGGTAGATTTCATTAGGTCGGCTGCTGCGGGCATGTCTGGGGGCATCGTCACCATCATCATTCTCGTTGTCCTGATCGTAGTGGCAGTCATCATCCTCATTGTTGTCATGAAAAGACAACGTTGTGGATTCTTCAAGTAGGTTGTCATTGACTTGATTTAGAAGAAAATTTATGACTGGTTTTTCTAGGCATGGACTTCATTTAGAAGAAAGTTTATTATGACTGGTTGTTCTAGGCATGGACTTCATTTAGAAGAAAGTTTATTAATGACTGAGATTCTAAATATGGACTTGATTTATTAGAAAGTTTAAGACTAGTGGTTATAGAGATGGACTTTATTTAGTTTTATCAGAAGTCCAAGAAATATGTAATGGGAATTATCACAGGCAACAGTAATTTCATCATTTCTAGTAGTAGTAGTAGTAGTATTTTAAGTTCTATTGTGTGTCTTTCAGACCTAAGTCCTATCCAGTGACTACTGTGGCGTACACTGCCGATGTAACCACGAATTTGCTTGGGCCTCCAGGTCCCCAGTTTTCAAACAATGGTAATACTATCTACTCTCTAGTTGTGGTCCATAAATATGGTAATTGTATACCATCTCCTCTCTTTGTGGTCCATAGCAATGGTAATTGTATACCATCTCCTCTCTTTGTGGTCCATGAAATAAAACTTTATTTTAAAAAATAACTATTGAAATAACTGTAGGCCAATTCTGTTTATTATTTTTTTGTCCAGAACTCACAGTTCAAACATTATCAAATGTCATTTAATACGTTTCATACTCTTCAACATTTAGCTGTGCACACATATTTTCCTCTACATTTTAAATACATTACTGGGTGGTTACATTTACTATTTGTATTATTATATTAACCTCTTTTTTTTTTTTTTTTTTATTTTACCCTCTTTTTTTTTTTTTTTTTTCGAATGGCTTAGGATAACTATTTCAGTGTTATCATCGCACCACTACTTATTCATATTTTCTCCTCTCTCTTCTTGGAAAATTTGTCTTGATCAGTGATTCAAGGGTCGCCAAAAATTCTTCTCAAAATGTTTTCATTTAATGAAAATCCATCATTTTTATCAAACTTTTTTCCCCCCAAGTTTCTAATCCGTCTCTGGATTAGCTCCCTTATCTCAGAGTTTTGAATTATCCCTCTTGTTTGAAGGCTCTGAAATTAAACCTTGTTTTTGTATTCCTTTGGCAGACTACAGCGATGGAGGCCTCGCTAGAGCCCAGGGTGAGGCCCACGCACACATTGATGAGGAGACATTGAGGTTGATTGAATCTGAACATCTTCTTGTTGACAGGGAATGCCTTGTGCTGGCTGATGAAATAGGGAAAGGTAATTGGTAGTATTTTGTGCAAGCTGATGAAATAGGGAAAGGTAATGAGTAGTATTTTGTGCAGGCTGATAAAGAAGGGAAAGGTAATTGGTAGTATTTTGTGCAAGCTGAGTAAATAAGAATATATATTTGGTGGTTTTCAATATTGGCTGTTTAGGGAAAGGTATTTAGTGGTATTTTGGTCTGACTGGTGGAATGAAGGAGGGTATTTAGTGGTATTTGGTGCTGACTGATGAAATTAGGGAAGGTATTTGTTGGTAATTCAGCACACACTAAATTTTGTATCCCTAACTCCACTCAAGACTAAACAATATCCCAAGTCCTTAGTTATCCCTAACTCAACTCAAGACTAAACAATATCCCAAGTCCTTAGTTATCCCTAACTCAACTGAAGACTAAACAATATCCCAATTCCTTAGTTATCCCTAACTCAACTCAAGACTAAACAATATCCCAAGTCCTTAGTTATCCCTAACTCAACTCAATACTAAACAATATCCCAAGTCCTTAGTTATCCCTAACTCAACTCAAGACTAAATAATATCCCAAGTCCTTAGTTATCCCTAACTCAACTGAAGACTAAACAATATCCCAAGTCCTTAGTTATCCTTAAATCAACTCAAGACTTAACAATATCCCAAGTCCTTAGTTATCATCAGATCCTGGGTGTTTCTTTTAGAGTATTTGGCTGAAATAAATTTAAGTACAAAATGAATATCTTTACTGTTTTAGAAATAATGGATGTTTTTTAAAAACATATTTTACATGTCTATTGTTCTAGACATAATGGATATGTTTATTGTTCTGCTTCTGGTAGGGTATGTTGCTGAATCCATGTACTGGCATATGTGCAACGGTTGGGGATGCGATGCTGGTATTTTAACAGCTTCTAGTGGATGCTAGGGCAGTTTTGAAGCTTTCGATTGACGTTGAGTTTACGGCGGTATTGTCCAGGTGGTTCCAAGTGATGATTGTGTGTGGGAAAAATGATTGTTTATATAGGACTGTGTTACACCGAGGCACAGTGAAGCATTTGCTATTGTTCGGGATGTAATTGCTTATGGGGTTCTTAGAGGTGAAGTCAGTGTTTAATGAGCGTTTGTCTCTGATTAAGTGACGTGGCTTCTGTGGGGTGAGATACGTGTTTGCTGGGATGGCCGGCACTAGACATAGTGGATATGTTTATTGTTCTAGACATAATGGATATGTTTGTTCAAGACACAATGGATATTTTTAATTGTTCTAGACATAATAGAAAGGTTTATTGTTCTAGACATAATAGATATGTTTATTTTTCCATATTGTAAATGTCAGAATCAAATAAACACCACTCTGACATGGAAACATAATTCTTTACATCTAATTTTAGAAATTAGAAAAATGTCAATTGGAGATAATGAAACGAATGCAATGGCTTGTACAATTCTGTGTATTTTCAGGAAACTTTGGTTGTGTCAAACGTGGCTTCTTGACTCTGCCAGAACAGAAAGGTGATATCTTGGTAGCTGTGAAAACATTACATGGTAAGTTGTGTGTTGTATTCTGACATTTGTGAAAACATTACATGGTAAGTTGTGTACTGTATTCTGGTTTTTGCGAAAACATTACTTGGCATGTGCTCGGTGGCTGAGAGATCTAAACTGAGTCAATCCAAGGCTAGTTGACTGGAGTTCAATCTCCAGAAAATGCCATCTAAGAGAAGGCACACTCTGAAATCAAACTAAGTCTTGCCATTAGATCAAATAGGCAAGGGCGGGGTGGGGGGGTCACTCTAATGCTTTTCTTGTTTTAATTTTAATCAGTGCTTAATCTCAGATCAGGTTTTAATTTACCACAGATTATATAACATTCATGTCATCTCTGTCTTTGTGACAGATAACAATCCCATTAACTCTAACAATTGTTTCATCCTGTCTTTGTGACAGATAACAATCCCATTAACTCTAACAATTGTTTCATCCTGTCTTTGTGACAGATAACAATCCCATTAACTCTAACAATTGTTTCATCCTGTCTTTGTGACAGATAACAATCCCATTAACTCTAACAATTGTTTCATCCTGTCTTTGTGACAGATAACAATCCCATTAACTATAACAATTGTTTCATCCTGTCGTTGTGACAGATAACAATCCCATTAACTATAACAATTGTTTCATCCTGACTTTGTGACAGATAACAATCCCAGTGACTATAACAATTGTTTCATCCTGTCTTTGTGACAGATAACAATCCCAGTTACTATAACAATTGTTTCATCCTATCTTGTTGACAGATAACAATCCCCGTGACATAGAGCTGCAGGGGTTCCTACAGGAGGCCCTGAGGATGAAAGACTTCAACCACCCCAACGTCTTGGCTCTGATTGGCGTGTGCCTGGACCTGGATGCCATGCCACTGGTTGTCCTGCCTTTCATGAAACACGGTGACCTACTTACTTATATACGAGATGAAAAAAATGTAAGAAGCAACATAATCATCTTACTTCCTAAATCTCCTTTGGAAATGATACCTTATCCTATTATACCAATAACAACAGTATAACAACTAATTTGTATATCACATGTCTAAAATATCAATATTTGAAGGATTTTTATTTAATAATTTTAACTTAAAAGAGAAATATTGATTTTATTTTTTGTATTTTTAACTCCCTCTTAGTGCCTGAATGTGATTGATTATACAACAAAACTTAATTTCAATAATTAACAGGCTTCCATACTTGAAAAGTGGATTTCTTTCAAGTTCTCTCTGTCAGCCATTTTTAAAGTGAAACTTTCCTTACACTTTCCCTTCCCCAACATATTCTTTCTATCCTAGGTAGTCTTTCTTCCCCTAAGTGTCCCCTTCTCCTACATGTCCCCCTTCCTTTATATGCCCCCCTTCCCCTACATGTCCCCCTTCCCCTAAATGTCCCCCTTACCCTACTTGTCCCCCATACCCTAAAAGTCCCCCTTACCCTACATGCCCCCCTTACCATAAATGTCCCCCTTACCCTACATCTCCCCCTTACCCTAAATGTCCCCCTTCCTTTACATGTTCCCATTCTTCAACAGGCTCCCCTCCCTAATGTTTTATCAGTGACTCGTTTCATATGAGCCAAGCTTCTTTAAGTTTCTTGCAACACATGAGCCACAAGGATCCAGCAGGACTTAATTAAAATAGAAAAACTTGTAGATGATCTCTCAGAGTTGTGACTGTTTTCTTTGCTCTATGCTCTATGCTTAACTGCATGTACCTGACGACGCATGAGATTTTTGACTGGCTTTTGATTTCAGCTGCCCACCATTAAGGATTTAATTATGTTTGGCATCGACATTGCCAAAGGCATGGACTACCTGTCCAGTCTCAAGTTTGTACATCGAGATCTTGCTGCTAGAAACTGCATGTAAGTTTGATTTTACGCTAGCCTGTAAGGGAGGGAAGAAGTCTACGTGCTATTCACAGTGAAAATATATCTATACAAGTTTAAATGTGGAAATGAAGAAATGTTGAATTCCGTCACAGGAATAAAATGACAAACAGATTTAATTTAAATTGTCTAAGCAAATATGAATCAAAAGGAATGATGCCATATTATCACAGAGCAGTTGATCCTAAGAATACATATTGCCTAACAGTAACACAAAGAGAATGATTAACTTTAATGTTAACATTATTCACTGTTAGTTTAACATAATCAACTCATCATGTTAACATTATTAACCAAATTAAATTTAGTTATTAACCTTGACTTATTGTATTTTAACCATAGAATAACCATAATTTTTTTAATTTTTCACTTCCTTACAAGTAAGGAATAGACCAAGAAGTTAGGGTTAGACTGGCAAGAAAGTAATAGACCAACAAGTTAGATTCAGACTGACAAGTGAGGGTTAGATATAAATGTTATTATTTTCAACATTGTTTAATATATTTACTTACTAATTTTTTGGCACAATGTTCAGACTTTGTAATATCCAATTTTTTGGCACAATGTTCAGACTTTGTAATATCCCCGCATTAAATGATCAGTAAACACACCACAAAGCAGTAGAAAAATGAAGACTTGAAAGATGTTTTTTTTAAAAATATTTTATTACAAGAAGATATGACCTGGTTTTACCGGGCTAAAAATAGAGTGCATTTGTGCCGCTTGCTACTTCCCATTGCAAAGACAAAAAAAAAGCAATGAAAATTGTCTCCACACATGAGCTGTATATTCAGGAAATAGTAAATCAGACTTTCCCTTTCTTTAAAAGAACTATCTATGTACATATGCTTACATTTCTAACATCAAAGAACTATCTATGTACATATGCTTACATTTCTAACATCAAAGAACTATCTATGTACATATGCTTACATTTCTAACATCAAAGAACTATCTATGTACATATGCTTACATTTCTAACATCATTGGGTTTTGAGAAATATTTATCCTGATATAGGCACACCCAAAAACTTTTTATAATAATGTTTACATATTAAAGATTATATATTAAAATCAGATTTATTTTATCATATTTAAATTGATTCGATTTCCATAAAATAGTCGAAAATCACTATCATTGTCTTTACGAATCTGAGCCTAACACATCTGCATTGGCTCCTTCTTTTACAGAGATATAGATCTGAGCCTAACACATCTGCATTGGCTCCTTCTTTTACAGAGATATAGATCTGAGCCTAACACATCTGCATTGGCTCCTTCCTTTACAGAGATATAGATCTGAGCCTAACACATCTGCATTGGCTCCTTCTTTTACAGAGATATAGATCTGAGCCTAACACATCTGCATTGGCTCCTTCTTTTACAGAGATATAGATAGATATAGATGTAAATATGTATAGAAATTTTCAGACATAATGTTTTAAAAGGGACAAAAAATGTGAATGAATTAGCTCCATTGATTTTACTAATTGAACTAATTTTAGAAATAATTGAAAATGCCCTCATTAAGCACTGATTTCAACAATATTTTCTTGTTCACTTTGAGAGTGCATTTATAGTGTTGAAAGATTTTAATTGAGAGATATGTGCTGGGGCCTATACTCTTGGTGGGATGTGCTGTGGCCTATACTCTTGGTGGGATGTGCTGTGGCCTATACTCTAGGTGGGATGTGCTGTGGCCTATACTCTTGGTGGGATGTGCTGTGGCCTATACACTTGGTGGGATGGGCTGTGGCCTATACTCTTGGTGGGATGGGCTGTGGCCTATACTCTTGGTGGGATGTGCTGTGGCCTATACTCTTGGTGGGATGTGCTGTGGCCTATACTCTTGGTGGGATGTGCTGTGGCCTATACTCTTGGTGGAATGTGCTGTGGCCTATACTCTTGGTGGGATGGGCTGTGGCCTATACTCTTGGTGGGATGTGCTGTGGCCTATACTCTTAGGGGTTTTCCCCCATTTTCTTCCTTTCATTCAAAACTTGTGTGCTTTTGTTGCCCATCCATGTAGGTAGATGATACAAGATTTTAAATATTTATAGCAAAAGTTGACAAATATATTTGAATATGGATGCTAATAACCACAACACATAATGAATATGGATACTAATAGCCACAACACATAGGATTTTGTTGGACTTGAAAGGAGATAGTTGGTTTTAACTCCCAGTAAGTTATGCCCATAGCTTGGATCTGGCCGCTGAGTTGTTGAAATGGTTTTGACTTGCTCACTCTGTTACTTAGTTGACCAGTGTTTGATGATCAGGGAATTACAATCTAAATATTTTTTTTATTTAACATTTTTGTCTGCTTATCACCTAGCCGCTGCAACTCATAAGGAAGTTTAGTAACAGCTTTTTGCACTACATGATCTCTGCCCCCTCCAGCGGTTTCCTAAGGTCCTGCTTATCTTGCTTATGTAACTTCAAAACCTCATGTCTCTACTTTGATATCACTCAATTCACTTCATGTGTTGGATTGGGGGATGGAGCTGGTCTCATAGAGCGCCACTTCACTTCATGGGTGCTGGGTTTGTGGGTAGCGTCACTTCACTTCATGGGTGCTGGGTTTGTGGGTAGCGCCACTTCACTTCATGGGTGCTGGGTTTGTGGGTAGAGCCACTTCACTGCAAATATATTTGCTTTGACCAGTTTTCAAACGTCCACTTGACTCAATATTTTTCTTTTGATCCAAAGACTTATTTATTAAAAAATGTAGGCAGCAGATTGAAAACTATTTTAATCTTAAGGTACCAGTTTTTAACATTAACTAAATGTCTCTGTCCCAGGTCCCAGTTTTTAACATTAATTAAATCTCTTGTGTGCCAGGTCCCAGTTTTTAACATTAACTAAATCTCTTGTGTGCCAGGTTGGATGAAGAATTTCACGTGCGTGTGGCAGATTTTGGTCTGGCGCGTGACATTTATGAAAAAGAATACTACAGCTCAGCCAACAAGAAGGCAAAACTGCCGGTCAAGTGGATGGCCATAGAGAGTCTGGAGAAGGGGACCTACAGTGTCAAATCGGACGTGGTAAGTATGTGGAGTCGTGGTTATTAAATGATGTTGTGTCATTGCTATAAGGCTCTCTATCATCTGTTCATCAGTTAAGAATTTTTTTTCTGATTTGCTTACCATCCCAGCAACTATTTTTGTCTATTGTATCTACTAAATATTGAAATCGGAAGTAAAAATTGCTTAAAGTCATTTCTCGGTGAACCTCTTAGAGTCATGATCTCTTTGAACCTATTTATTTGTTCTCCCAGTGGTCCTATGGTGTTGTCCTCTGGGAGCTGATGACGAGAGGACTCATGCCATATCCAGAAGTAGACAACTGGGACATCATCAGATACCTGAAAGCTGGACGGCGCATGCCACACCCAAACTACTGCCCCGATCTGCTGTAAGTCTCTTTAGATGTGTCATCTGACAAATTTATCAAGTTCTTTAAAAAGTTGTAAAAGAAGTTTATTACTATTTAATAAATACTAAAATTAAAAGATTTATATAAAGACACACACATCTGGTGGACAGGTAATCTAATTTTCCACAAGCATTTCTTTAGTTGTTTCCACAAGCATTTCTTCAGTTTTAAACCGATTAAGTCTAGAATCAAGGAGAACTGTATTCAGGTATCCCCCATTTTAATATGTAGAAATTCTAAGGAGGGGGCTCAGCTCTCTTCTTCCAAAACCCCACCCCCACTTTCACTCAGTGACCTCAGGATGAGGCCACAACTTCTTCCCCCACCACCCCCCTTCATCTATCAAAGTGGCAATGACAAGCACCTTTTTATGTGCAAAATGAAGCACTTTATAAATGGACATCAGGCATGTCCTTTAGGAAGTGACTTTTAAGACATCCAATGCCAATAGTTATTGTCAGGCATGTCCTTTAGGAAGTGACTTTTAAGACATCCAATGCCAATAGTTATTGTATACATTATACTGTATGCTTATTTATTTACTATTAAAAGTCAGTATTGTAAGATTTTGTAATGGTTAAGACACTTCTGAAGCGATATTGTACTATTTTGGGAGTTCTGAGGTAACCAGGTCTGTGAATAGTATTAAAGCTTCCTTATGGTTTAGAATTCCTTTTGCATGAAATCGAAATGTCCTGGCGGTGTTTTATCTAATGTCCCACGTGTTTCCCCAGCTACGACATCATGCTGCACTGCTGGCAAGAGGACCCGGCTCAGAGGCCAACGTTTGCTGAACTTGTGGACGACATCGCAGACATGGTGGCCCAGATAGAGCACAAGACGGGCGTCATGAGGCGCAACATTCAGTCCACCTACGTCAATGTCACGGAGTGCAACCACTACCACTACCGAGACGATGTGCAAGGTGCCGGCGGCGGGTCCACATCCAAGCAGCCAGGGGGTGGGGGCTCCACATCCAAGCAGCCAAGGGAGTTCTCAGATCGGAGAAAAAAAGTACAGGATGATAATGACGATGAAGTGTTTGATGATCGGGTGACAGAGACGACTGCATTAAAAGTATAACGTTTTTGATCAACCTATATGTTATAACTTTCCAAAAAATATTATTATATGTTACTAGAATGATAAGATGAGATTTTATGACACGAATGTACTTATTTGATGCTTTCACAAGAAAATATTGTATTTATTTAGTAGATTCAAGAGAATTTTATAGAATAATTAATTTCATGTCAAAATGAAATTTTGTATCACTAAATTCATGAGTTGTCCAGTAAGTTGACCAGTAAGTTTTCCAGTAACTTGTGCAGTAAGTTGCTGTATAATTTTTAAAATGTTTCAAAGACCAACATTTGTACACTGTAAACAACTGTATATTATCATTTAATCATTTTGATTCCTAAACAGTGTATTTCAAAATATTTATATATATGATTATTATATTTTATAAATCTTTTGATAGTTTTTCTACATGTTCTCTTAAAATAGTTTTTCTACATGTTCTCTTAAAATAGTTTTTCTACATGTTCTCTTAAAATAGTTTTTCTACATGTTCTCTTAAATAGTTTTTCTGCATGTTCTCTTAAAATATTTTTTCTACATGTTCTCTTAAAATAGTTTTGCTATATGTTCTCTTAAAAGTCCCAAACTTCATTGTTTTATTTTGAAATGACACGTTACACTGCCTTGTTACTTTGAATTTACACCTCAAGGTTATGTCACAAGTCAAGAATATGTAGGATGAAATAAAGGGATGAAAACAAGTCAATGTGAAGGGTGAAATAAAGGGGGACAGACACAAGTCAATGTGTAGGGTGAAATAAAGGGGGACAGACACAAGTCAATGTGTAGGGTGAAATAAAGGGGGACAGACACAAGTCAATGTGTAGGGTGAAATAAAGGGGGACAGACACAAGTCAATGTGAAGGGTGAAATAAAGGGGGACAGACACAAGTCAATGTGTAGGGTGAAATAAAGGGGGACAGACTCAAGTCTGAGTAGTAATACTGATTCCTGTAATTAAATTAACGAACCAAAATAACTGTAGTCCGTATTGACAAAGTCGTTGATTACCTTTAGCTTGAAATCTTACTTTTCACAGTACCGGAGGGCATAAGCGGAGCCGTTGATAGTAATATGAAATGTATGTTATTATTAAATTTAATTAAAAGAACACTCACTAACACAGCAGCTTTTGTTAAGAATTACAGGGACTTGTAATTATGCTTTACTACTCAAAGTAGTTACTACCGTAGTAAGCTGTCTTAATATTATTGACAAACAATATCAATGGAACCGAGCTGTTTCTAAAATTGAACGGCCTGCTGATCCCCAATTTGGTCACTTTCAATTTTGAACGGACCAATTGGATTTGAACTACTTGTTGTCCAAGGTTGAATTGATTGCACCACCTGTTTTGAACGTGTGTCTTGTTAAAAAATATTTATTTTCTAAACCCCAGTGAAACACTGTACGGCTGGGCGACCAGGTAAACAGGTACAGGTAAACCGTACAGGTCGGCATGCATGTATTAAACCTTAAAACTGTTACGATACTTCATAAATAACATCCAATAACACTGTCCTCGTAGTTAATTTATTGAATGTGGCTTGATGACTCCCCTTGCTTCCATAAAACGAATTAATTCCCCTTCTGCTGTAGTAATGGTCACGTCCATTTCTGACATCTCATATTATTCTTTTTTTTTTTTTATTTGAGGCAAAAGATTTTTGTTCTGGGTTTGTATCTATGTTAAATTGTACCATCAAAAAATGTTGTCACAGAAATATGTTGTTTAATATGCTCATGAATTTAATATGCAAATTAATATAATATGCAAATTAATATAATATGCTAATGAATATAATATGCAAATTAATATAATACACTAATGAATATACTATGCAAATGAATGTCCCTTATATTGACAAGGCACTGAAGTAAAAGCTAATAGTAGGAGCTAAACAAAGATTATTTAACAATTCTATTTCTATGCATCACTCTCTACTGCTGCCAACTGAAGTCCCATTGAAGCTGCTCTACCTTGTATTCCTTATCATTGTACGGCCAATGCTTCCTATAACATATTTCAGACTTTTAAAAGTCCTGTGATTTGTCATTTATTATTTTCAGATGTTTTTATTCAAGCTGTTTGATAATGTCAGCCAGATGTGTTACTTAGGGGCCACTAGAAAGCTGCTCTGAACATGATATAAACATATGATGTAATAATAGGATATAGAGATGCGGTATAGCTGAAGATACTCTATGTAATGATCTCATTGAGAGAAAATGGTCTGCAAGATTTGTATATCAACAATATAATCAACTTCATTTTATAAAAACAATATAATCAACTCCATTTTATATCAACAATGTAATCCACTCTGTACTTATCAAGCAAAGTTGTAGTTTTTTTTTTTATTAAAGTTTTATTCTTTCTCTAGACATCACTGTAGCCAGTAGACATGACTGTAGCCAGCAGACTTGACTGTAGCCAGTAGACATGACTGTAGCCAGTAGACATGACTGTAGCCACTAGACTTAACTGTACCCAGTAGGCATGAATATATTATAGCCACTAGACTTGACTTGACTATAGCCAGTAGACATGACGGTAGCCACTAGAAATGACTAGCCACTAGACATGACTGTAGCCAGTATACATGACTGTAGCCACTAGACTTGACTGTACCCAGTAGACATGAATATAGCCACTAGACTTGACTGTAGCCAGTAGACATGACTGTAGCCAGTTGACATGACTGTAGCCACTAGACATTACTGTAGCCAGTAGACATGACTATAGCCAGTAGACATGACTGTAGGAACTAGACTTGACTGTACCCAGTAGGCATGAATATAGCCACTAGACTTGACTGTAGCCAGTAGACATGAATATAGTCATGTCTACCGGTAGACGTGACTGTAGCCAGTAGACATGACTGTAGCCACTAGACTTGACTGTACCCAGTAGACATGAATATAGCCACTAGACTTGACTGTAGCCAGTTGACATGACTGTAGCCAGTTGACATGACTGTAGCCACTAGACATGACTGTAGCCAGTAGACATGACTGTAGCCAGTAGACATGACTGTAGCCACTAGAGTTGACTGTACCCAGTAGGCATGAATATAGCCACTAGACTTGACTTGACTAGCCAGTAGACATGAATATAGTCATGTCTACCGGTAGACATGACTGTAGCCAGTAGACATGACTGTAGCCAGTAGACATGACTGTAGCCACTAGACTTGACTGTACCCAGTAGACATGAATATAGCCACTAGACTTGACTGTAGCCAGTAGACATGACTAGCCAGTTGACATGACTGTAGCCACTAGACATTACTGTAGCCAGTAGACTTGACTGTAGCCACTAGAATTAACTGTACCCAGTAGACATGAATATAGCCACTAGACTTGACTATAGCCAGTAGACATGACGGTAGCCACTAGACATGACTGTAGACATGACTGTAGCCACTAGACTTGACTATAGCCAGTAGACATGAATATAGTCATGTCTACCGGTAGACGTGACTGTAGCCAGTAGACATGACTGTAGCCAGTAGACATGACTGTAGCCAGTAGACGTGACTAGCCAGGAGACATGACTGTAGCCAGTAGACATGACTGTAGCCAGTAGACATTAGACATGACTGTAGCCAGTAGATGTGACTGTAGCCAGTAGACATGAATGTAGCCACTAGACATGACTGTGGCATTTGTTGTTATATTTTCTACATTGTCAGGGAAGTTACTGCCCCCATCCCACCCCCTTCAGTCAGTATTTGTTTAAGATTTGTGTACTTCCAATAACTGAGTTCAATGCTCATTGTAATCAATGGATTTTATGATTGATTTGTTCATACTTGTCAACACATTGACATCATCATTGGAATCAGAGATGGGTCTTACCATAATTTACGGACTATAAGACACACTTTTTTCTTTGCAAAGTGGCCTCCATAATTCAGGTATGTCTTATACTCAAAATTAATATAAAAAATGGTAAAAAAAAATTTTTTTTTTTTTTTAATTGCTTAAAAATCAAGGTGCATCTTATAGTCCATAGAATAAGTTAAGATTTTAAAAATTGTTCTTATTTTTTTTACAGTCAATGTCTTTTAATTCATTTAAAGCTTTAGATTAAATATACTTTGTAAAAATGACACAATAATTGAATGTAGTCTTTCAGGCCAGGAAAATGTTCTATCTTTTAGTGATCTATGCTAATGGCGGTATAGACAGCTATAGATTGTAAAATTCACTTTTTATTCTCAGATTTTCTTTTTTTTTCAAACTTTCAATGTAATTGTGATATCAATAGTGGTGTACAAGACACCAACCAATAATGTACTAGACACCAACTAGTAATCTACAAGACACCAATTAGTAAGTACAAGACACCAATAAGTGTGTACAAGACACCATCTTGTGATGTACGAGACACCATCTTGTGATGTGCAAGACACCAATAGTGTTCCAGCTTCAGTGTGTGAGGGAGGCTAATGGGGAATAAGGCAGCAATGTCAGTCAAAAGTTTGTTCAACTCCTGGTCAGTGTCCGATTATCTCAGACAAAATAACTTGTAGTTTTATTTGATGTAATATACCAACCTTGAATTGTGCTGCCAGTTTGCACCCCCCCCCCCCTTTTCTATCCCAAACATTTCTCTCTTTGCCATCATCATCATCATTGCTCTCTTCTGTGTCCAAAATAATATCAGTGAAAATTACGGTTCTTTATACACCAAGAGTTGTGCCATTGATTTTCTCAAATTTTCTATTTTCTTTGAATTTTCTTCTAGCTTTGTCTTTCACTTATTTTAGATTCTTTATCATTTTATTGTATATTTATCTAACACCTTATTTCTTTTGCTTCTGTCAAGTAACTGATACTTTGATTGGACCTGTTGATATGGTTTTTAATGTAAGAAAATTATTTGTGAAATAAATCCATCGTAATCCACATAAGAGTGTAACAAATCTTCAACTACTTGTAAATACTGTTTCATGTTAAAGAGGCTTGTCCTGGGGTGGGTATTTACAAGCAGTTCTTGATTTACAAACATTCAAATTACAAACTTTGTCTATAACGGAACATCACAATATTCAGATTGTTAAAATAAAATTCTTAATTAATTGTTTTCAATTTTA